CATTTCTATGAGCGATTTTTAATGTTTCACTTCTAAATTATCAGACTTATTTAGCTAAGCATTCTTCGAATAAATTTCTCCTCCTAATGAACAATGAATTCAAAGTGCTATTTTTGCAGCAGTTCGAGTAGTTCTTCTGATGACGATGCATCATCTCGAAAGCGTGCCGTATGCGCTAAACTTTCTGAGAATTACCGACTCATCGAATTGAGTGCAAAGAAAATGGCTGAGGTGAGATACTCTTTAACTTTGTCGTATTTTTCAGAATCTTTGCTTCGGATCAATTCTAAGAATATAGTAATGGAGATTATGACGTTTCAAATAGTCCGGAAATTTTGATTTTGGTTTATTGATCTGTTTTTTTCCTTAGCAGTCAAATATTCTTCCACTGATTCGCAAAAAACTGTGATACGATATTAGTATACCATTCGGTTGCGAGTAGAACTCTCGTCTGCAAACAGAACTCAATCGAATGTGGAAATGCTCCACTTGAAAGTGAATGATATATTGGTAACATTGCAGTTGTTTGATCTCAACCAGACAATAATGTGGTTTATATCTGATTGAGTCTGTATGAGTGTAGGAGTTTATATTTATGAATGAATTTACAGTGCACAGCACCGAAAGCTTGGCGTCAACCTCACGTCTTACAACAACACTTAAGTGATATCAAAGAAGCAGTCGTTACGATTACGGCTTGTTTAGATGAGTTCTTGAATGCTACCGGACGTATTACTGTCGATAAAAGCAGTCCCAAAGCAGATGGTTTAGTTTCATTTCTCTGAGAATCAATCAGCAAATCTGAATCATTCTGAATCTGAATCAAAAATTTCATGTGTGCTCATTCTCCAAGCATAATCTTGAAGTCTTCGCATATATATTCCGAAATAGTATTACTCAGAGATCGTTATTTTTTTCACCAAGACTGAATGTGGCCATCAACAACTGAATTGTTTACGAATGATGGAATGTTTAACAAAATTTTGATTTTGAAAAATTCATTTCGGTCAATTCAAATTCAGCGATTCCCCACCATTCAACCTCAATTGAATAAAATTCTTCTTTCCGCCAGCAGATATTCCCACCTTCTTGGTGATCTTCCCTACCTATTCTTTATTATGAAATTACGAGTTTGATAGTCAGCAATAAGCGAATGACTGTGAGCAACAAATATTATGAGGCGATAGATGAATGATGAAGCGCAAGACATGCACATCAAGTTGAAGTTGCGCATGAGTTATTACTCGGGAATAGTTGTGTTGATAATTTAGAGCAATTCGTTTAGATTTGCAACATCTGTTAACACCACTTCGTAATTCTCATTCGATGATAAAACAACTGAAACAAAATATCGATTATACGGGTTGGACTTTAGCCGCGTTGTCGAGACCTAAATCCAACATGGCATCCACAACGAATGGTAATGATGCGTTGGATCAGTTTGTTGCCGTTATCAAGCAGGTGACTTCGTTTATTCTTTATTGTTTGCTGGTGTCGTTTGTTCACTGTAGTACTTTTTCGCGTAAATCATCCGCAAAATATCATAATTTTGCAACATTATTCGTAAAATTTGATCATTACGAGTGCATACGACAGGTATAAGTTCTACGTTTTGATAGAATAATGTTTTTGGAAAACTTTTACCATCTAGTTGCTCTCATCCTTCATCTGAAATCGCCCGTTTGTCAATTATTACTGCAGAGAACAATCTCACTCAAAAACATCA